ACAGAAACGGTGTCATGCCACGAACCGAGCACTAAACGTTCTACGTTGATAAGACCCGCACCACTGTACCGTGTATTTATATGGGCTTTGCGCAAGCTGTTGTGGAACGTCGGTCGACAACAGCTAAAGTCGAGAAAACACCGCTAACTCAACAAGTAATCCTGAGCAACCAAGACATTTGGTGTCTCAAATAACATAAATAAAAGACAGTGATTTACAACCAAGCAACGATCAAATCACTAGCACAAGAATATTCTTTTTTAATCATTTCAACCACTACTGTTTTTTATTAATACTCTTGGAACTATGTTGAAGTAACACATTTTCAGTAACTAGACTAGCATATTTGTTTTCTTGTTTGTTTTTTTACTGCAAAAACGGTAACGTTTCATTGCAATGCATTATTCGTATTATTGCAATCAATGCATGGGTGGGTGCCAATTAAATGGCAAGTGGTAATTTTTTGGTTCCATTTTTCTAGACAGCTCCAGGAAGTGTATCCAGAAAACGAGGTGGCGCTTTTGAAGTTTCACGAGACCGAGTGGTCTTGGTAAAACCCCTGTCTGATGGAAAATATGGGCAAGTATGGACGGCCAAGGTATGGGGTATATATGGAAACGACGGAGAGACCATGGTCGCTGCAAGGGTACTGCGGAAGGATACGCCACAACATGTCATACACGGTTTACTTCATCAGCTGATGTTGCTGTCACAGATAGATACTCATCCTAATATTGCTACGATGATTGGATGCTGCACTACATCCGGTGAGAATTGTGGGTAGCGTATTTGTATTAGTCCGGTTTGTTTTGTGATATTAATATCACATGCGTTATATATTTCTAGCCACCATGCCGTCTTAAAATATCACCTGCTTTGCGTACTTGTCTATGTCCTTGTAAATTGTAGGCATTCCAAACCAAATTCTATTAGTTAATATTCATTTAGATGTGTGAAAACGAAGATTTATTCATGTACGCTGTGTAAAACACGCGGGAGGAACACGTTTCCCCAAAAATGAATGTATCTGCGTGTTCGTTTTCAGAACCATATTACTTTATGACGGAGTACGTCAAAAATGGTGATTTGCAGTCCTTTTTAGAGAACAATTATCCTGGTGATACAAGTAACCAGAAAACGCTCAAGTCGCGTGATCTCATTACTATGGCACTCCAGATTGCCAGGGGAATGGCGTATCTTGCAAACAAAAGGGTGAGTCAACTCGTAGCTTTTATATCATCCTTGTTGTATTATAGTCTGACATGTCGGCGTACACGTAGTAGCGCCCTCGCCGGCCAAACGGGTTTGGAGCACCGTGGAGGCAACTCACGCGACTCGTCAGGCTACCTTTGTATAGACTGCATCTGACAAGCCGGGTGAACGGAGGTTACGCCATGACGGCTAAATAATGTGCAGCTCCCTCATGCTTTCCGACTATCACAAATTATTTTATTCTTGGACTACTTTTTTTAAATATTTTTCAGGTGATTCATGGTAATCTTACCACTAGCAACGTTCTTCTTGATGATGACATGGTGTGTAAATTAACCAACATTGGAAGAGTTGAGAATCCCGTGACACAGGCGCCAATGAAAACAGACGTACGTACAAACCTGCGCAAAATTGGTTGATAGAGGGCATAGTTTTCGTTTCACCAGTGCTGGAGTAGGCAGTAACGCAATTAGGATATGGATACAGTCGTTTCTGTTATTACAATTAGACTACGGAGAGGGCCAGTGTATTTCCGGGTGATAGGGCTAACCAAATACTAAGAAAATAGTAAATGATATTCGTGGAAAAAGACAATATCTACACTCACGGGAAAAACATGTAACGCAGTCATAATATTATCCCCTTATACTTGAACATTCCAGAGAATGTGAAGATAGGAGACTTAAATCCAACCGTCTAAAATGCTAACATATAAAGTGTCATGACAACACATTTTATTAAAGTCATTAAAGAGGGGAGTCGTCACCTGCGCATGCGTCAGATGGTCACAGCGTGTCATTGTTTACAAACAAGCGTCTACCCATAAGCATTTGCGTTTTTAGCTTGTGTTGTTATTGTCGCTTGGGACTCAATTCCCGCGCGTGCGCAGGTGACGACCCTGCCGCTTTAATTATTGTTTAAATGTGTGGACTGGGACAATGATTTGAGATGTGTCTTAGATTGATAGAAACTGTCACGTAACAGCAATGGCGCCAATAACGAATGATCTAACTGCAGATTGACTTCGTTTAATGTCAGCGTGTTTTTGTTTGTTTTTATTCCCGCAGGACAACCTACGCTGGATGTCACCTGAAACGATTCGGACTGCTCGCTACACGACGTACAGTGATGTGTGGTCATTTGGTATCGTGCTATGGGAGATTGTTAACTTCGGTTCGTATAGTACCATACATTGCCAAGTGTTGCTTGGTTAGTTTCGATGTTTGCGTGCATTTTTCCTCTTGATACTAACACATTTTGTTGATGTGTTCTTTTTTGGTATTGTCTTAGGTGCCACGCCGTACCCAGGTGACTCGAACAGTAAAGTTATAGCACGAGTGGAAAGAGGAGAGGTAATGGTAAAACCAAAACATTGTTCACAAGAACTGTAAGTATCACCAAACACATTATTCATGTTCTAGCTGTTAAATTTGCATGAAAACGTCAGAATATATCATTTTCGTTATTAAAATAATGGATCTGTGCATCATTGGCGTCAAGTCTGATATTAAAACACCGACTGCAAATCTCATACAAGATTATTCCCAGCACTGAAACACAGCTCATACAGTGCCCTTTGCGATACATTTTAATAAAACGTTTGTTTTTCTAACTGTCAGATACTACGTCATGACTCGGTGTTGGAACGATAGCCCCACACGACGACCAACATTCAATGATTTAATGAGGACATTGGATGATATGACAAACGACATTGAAAATACAGTAAGTAAAATTGATAAAAAAACAGGTGTGTTTTTGAAGAAATCTTAGTGACTTTGAAAATAAACGAAATAATAAGTACATGGTTTTCTTTCAGAATTATATAACAGTAGAAGACTTCGTCAAAGACGAAAGTAGCGGTATTGACTCACAGTCAAAATGCATACCATCAGTTGACGTATAGGTGCACTTCCCTGAACGTCAGTCGAAAAGCCTTTACCAACATCACGTGACTTCACGCTTTGCATGCTATGATATTGCTTGTATTCGTTTATTTCACAATTTACAATATTGCTGTAAGACAAAAAACGACTAAATAGTTGTATATATATACTCGACGTGGAAATATGAAAGTTATATTATAGATAAAGCTGCACGTGACAATGACATTGGGGTTTAAAAGGTGCTGGTCGTCGCTATCACATGTGTTCGAGTGCTCAAGTTTAAGTTAATTAGCAATGAATTTGACTCACATACGCATGTGTACGAGTTTCATGTAAAACGCACGCATGTGGGTCCCATACGACGCATGTAACATACTAGTGCATTGTTTTTTACAAGAAATTCAAGCGACTATAGCGCTATAATGATTATGGCACGACATAAACAGCATGTGTATAACATGACGGGGATTAAACCTTGTATCAACATGTCATCGCTCGAGTAGTTTAGCAGGAGACGAGTAAGTATATGTACTCTCAAATTATTGAAGTTTGTTTTCAGACGATTTTTTGTTATTCTCTGTTTTTTTTTTTTTCATTTTATTTGTTTTAAATTTTGACTGAATGAAGCTGAATAAAATTACAAAAAATGTAGTGTGTCCAACAACTCATGTTGAACAATAACTTTAACCAATATGATTTTACTTGGTGAAAAGACTGTATTTTTCTGCATAAAAACGAAAGAATTTCACAATGTCAAAATTGTCCTTTTCGTAGTGTTGAGAGGAACGATTGAATCGTATTGCTTCATATAGCTACTTGTAATGCATGATCAGTTACGATACAAGCTGTAATAATAGTGTTGATATTATAATAAATTGTTTGATGCTCAATTTACCGTTGTGTGTGTTTTTGTTTTTGTTTTGAATAAAATAGACAACACATGTAGTACCAGTAAATATAATACCGGAATTGGTAGCTAATAAAAATTAAGATGCAGTACTAACAAAGAAATACCGTTTTTATCCGTTGACTATTTTGAATAATTAATAGCACCCTCAATTGTGATTGGTAGTCGAGTCCACTGATTAACGAAGTGGTTGGCCCGAAGTTTGGAGCGTGATCACTGACATCACGTGACCGAGGAAAATGTTCGTAAGCAACTCATCTTTGTGGATGGTGGTCTCGTGCGCTTCGTACTACACACTGCACGCACGGACACGACTGTAAGTTTATACAAAACCCCAGACCCAACACACCCGGCCCCGTGCCTGGCTGACGTATGGCAGCAGTTTTCATAATGAAAAAAAAAGCAAATATGCCGGGAGTACTGAGTTGACAATTGGAATATGGAACGTTGCTTATGCCGGGCGCTTATGACGTGCGCAGCACAATAGCGACGCGCGCGTACAGATGCACTGAGAACCGCATTTGCAAGATGCGTACACGTGCAAGTTAACTGTATATAATTGGATTGGGGTTGGTGATAATGGCACATTTATGTAATTGAGTGCTATAATTCAATATACAGCATGGGACACTCTTGGTCGGACTTCGCGGGCAGCAGTCCTAACACGGCGTCTTCAGGCGGTGCCGATGGAATAGACGAGACGTTAGATCTCTCTCTGAATAGCAATGTCTTAACAGAGATTTACAAGTATACGATGGAGGGTAAAAGCGACGAAGTGAACGATCTGTTGAAGAAATGCCCGTATGTGGATCTTAATCAGGTTGCGTATGTCCACACCTTTTCACTCCACCCACTTCCCTTCTCTGGCCGCGTGGGGAGGACCCCCGTCTTTGTACTTCATGCCGCCGCGGCACTGAAACGCCGAGACATCATGCACCTTCTCTTACAACACGGCGCGGACCCCAATGTGACTGACATCGCGGGACAAACGGCGCTTCATCTGAGCACAATGCCGTGCCCGGGAAGTCAGTATTGTCTTTTACCGGCTTCGAATGAAAGCAAAGATTTGGTGTCTCTACTCTGTAGTAATGGCGCCAATGTTCACTCCAAAGACATTATGTTGAGATCTGCCGTCCACAAGACAGCGATGTACGGGTTATTATCATGTATGCTATTCCTCATCAACGAAGGCTCGGACGCTGATGCCCGGGACTGTGATGACGTCACTCCATTAATGCTCGCTGCTGAAAGCGGACAACTAAAAACTATGAGAGCACTTCTGAAGCGCGGTAAGAAATCTCCAAACCCTAACTCCTGAACAAATATTTTAAAAATACTACGTGTGGCGGTGACGCAATACTGTGTATGAATGTCAGTGTTGATGATCGGACAGAAACTGCGCAAGCAGTCGTTTGTCATATTGCACATAAATACTCCGGTCACGTGATGAATAGAAGATAGGAGATACTGTATAGCAATCCGTGTAGTGTCGAGAAGAATAACAATCACTCTGACTTACTTGAATTTGTTATTTGTTATGGCTGTCAATTATCAGTCGCCAATAGACCATTTTCAGGGGCGGGTCTAGGATTCTGGAATAGGGGAGCCGATAAGTTGGCCTAAGGCCAAGTTCGCGAGCGCCGATGGCGCGAAGCCCTGTTAGTTGTTAAAAATAGCTGAAATAGGGGGGGCGGCCCCCTCCTAAATCCGCCAATGATTTTCCGTTCACTACAAGATCCCGCGTTATGCGTGAAAATCGAATGTAAAACAGAACAAAGGTCGCAGTGGCGTCAAAACATCGCCAAATGCGAAACTATACATATTGATGTTGGTCAATTTTGATAAAGTAATGGCATCATATACACCTCCGAAAGATCGACATTCCGACAGTGAATTATAAAAAATACAAGTGCAAAATTAAATAGTTTGACTTTTGTGGCAGACTGTTTCCCGCCTCAAGTGTCACGGCGAACCAAGCAACAAGGGACGTCGCGAACCAGCGAAACGTCCAGTCCGCACATTTCACGCATTACGCGAGATCTCGCTTTGAACAGAAAATCACCTGTTGACTAATGATTTATTTTATGTTATTCAGGCGCTAATGTGAGAGCGAGAACGAAATCAAACCAAACTGTGCTGCATCATGCTGCCATGTTGTCGACGGGGTTGCGAAGATATCGCAGTAAGTTGTCGGCTGTGTCAATTTTAATGGAACATGACGTAAGTAAATGTTGCATAAACACTGAGTTGGGTGTATAGACACTGAGTTTTTTTTTTGGGGGGGGGGTCTTTTTCGGCAGATGGCGCACTTGACTAAACTAAACAGCATGGTTCTCTTACCTAACGCATGTTAACCACGTGTGCCATAAACATTACCCAAATTCCGGGCAACTCTTTGACTGTCACATCACCTGGTTTAAACCCTGCGATACGAGAAAACGGAACGGAAACACTCCCAATTTATTTCTATTTGCAACGTTTCACCAGAATGTTTTCCAGGATAACGTCCCAAAATATAACACTTTTCTTCGGAAATCATCATGAACACTCGTTTGGCCACGATCCGAAATGGGCTTTGGGCGTCCGAACATTTAAGATTCGGCGGATCTCGTATATGATTTAATATACAGAATATGTAAGTCATTGTTAATACTCCTTAACCACAGACTGTACAGTGCATGTCTTAACTAACATCGGTATTTTATGTCTATCCACCAGGTTGACGTCAACGCGCAGGACGATGCAGGACAGACACCACTTCACATCGCGGCAAAGCGACGTGATTACTCCGTCATTCGATACTTGATTAAATACGGGGCTGATCTGGGAATCAGAACCAGACAAGGACGTACCCCTTTCTACGAATTCTTAGACGGACTTAATCTGAAGCTAACCAGCAACGCTGTTGACGTACACATGGCGCTGATACTCTTTCTGCAGGATACCGCTCGTCCTGGTCCATTCACTGACAGTGAGGGCGTCACACCAAGTTGTTTCGCTGAAGATGCTATTGTGTCTGAGTTCCAACAGAAAGTGATAGACATTCTTCTTGAATCGGAGAAGAGTACGTTTTCGCTTCAGTTCTTATGTAGGTTGACAATAAGGCGTGCCCTAACACAGCATCGTATGGACAGGGTCAACGACCTGCCGTTGCCCACGTCATTGAGAGAATACATCAATTCAACCACGGCAAGTTGGGTTACTGGAGACTTATTGGAATTATTTTCCGAAGAAGTCAGACAACAATTAAGGCTTTAAGATCAAGAACGACATATAAAGACAAATATTTTTCTATATTTTGTATGTATATTTTTTTAATAAAAGTGGGCATGACTCGTGTGAATGAATCATGTGAAAGTTCACGAGATATATTTATAGTCGTATGTATTTTCTACGATAAAGACTTTCCGTTCTCGACATAGGTAAATTCTCTCGTCTTTATGGAGGAAAAACAATATTTTTACCAAGTAAAATCATATTTATTCAAGTTATTGTTCATACATGAGTTTGTGAACACACTACATATTTTATAACTTCATTCAGCTTCTTTCAGTCTTAATTCAAGACAAATGAAATAACAAAAATATCGAAATATACTAAATTATGTTTGGTCTCTAATTAATATTCCCGCAAAACCAGTAATTATTAAAATTAATATTGGTATGCATATGGAGTACACTTTTTATGAAATATTTAAACATATTTCTGAATTCACTTTTCAAAATCAATTATTTGGGGTTTTGGGCCAAAAAACGAAAGAATTTCACATGTTGAAAACGGAAAGTCTTTATCGTAGTGTATTTCTTTATATAATATATATCCGCACACACAATTGTTCCCATAATTACTAAAAGTGGGCAAGGTTGCAACACTGTTAATTAGTTTATATATCCGTTGAAATAGGAAATTCACATACTAAATGGTTCTGATATTATGGTATGTGTAATGATTTGAGGCTATAACGTTTAGTTTAGTTATTTGCATAATGATATTGTACATTGTATGGAACATCTCGTGAGTATTTAGACTCAGTTCCAGGCCTAGCAGTTGAGCAATAAACACCTTGGCTACAGGTGCTTCTCTCCAGTGTGTTATTCTCTTCTCGGATTTGGTGACCAATACTCACTTGGTTCACTCTACCTTGAGAAGTCTGTTCTCAGTTTACAGTATGATATGTTATCATATGTTTATCTAATTGTTGTGAACATCGTGTTGTGTTCGAAGATCTTTGTCTCACTTGGCTGATATCACTTACACGTAGAGAAACCAGATTCGACCCAAATTATTTTCGTACCACTAAGTCCATGTTCACTACTGACACGGTCACTTTGTACCACATGTACGTCCCTACTTGCATAGAAGTGCAATACGGGTATGTGCCGCCCGACTGGGGTGCCATTTCACGTTATTTTGTTTAGAAGCACTTATTTACTTTTTCACGGGTCCTTATATTCAAAGCCAAATACCGGAAAAGGCTGAATAAAATGCATTGCCGGGTGCGCTCACTGGTTGCAAAAGTTGTGGGCTGGGTGTTTTTTTTTTTGTCGCTGAAAACACTTGTGTTTAGAAGTGGGTATATAAATACAAAACAAAAATGGTTTTGAAGTGAGTATGGTTTACGAGAGGTGGGCTTCACACCCTTATCCACTTAATGTGGAAGTAGCCCCCCCCCCCGGATGTACGCTTTGATTGTGACTATTTTGTATGTAGGTAATTTACACTTCAAAATGGTTAATTAAGTTCAAGTAGCATTGGCTTATCAAGTGTATCAAGAATATTTGACAACGCCAACTAACAGTTTACATTTGAATCTTATTTGATTCACCGATAATGTTTTCACCATGACCTGCTATTATTATGTATGACACTGGTTTATCGTTATAATTTGTACATTTAAAGTCCGCATGCAAATACCGTTCACACCCAATCAAGCATAATGGTCTACTGTGAAACATTGATTACGGCCATCACATCGTTTTGAGATTAAACTGTGTCTAGTGACAGGTTATTATAATCGCATCCTGTAAATGCCATTTTGTATGTAGATTTGTTTTGATGGACATTCTCGCATCCTTTTGTTTTTACCCTGGCGGCGCTACAAAACACGTTTTAAAATGTCTATTTTAGTGATAGTAGTGTTTAGATATATGCGTCAACAACAAATCTTCATTGGAATTATGAATAATTATCGTCCTTTAGCAAAATATCTTCAAAAATACTTTATCTGCAACGTTTTCACAAGTTTGAATTCCCGACGAGCACATGTCACGGACGCACGTCGATGTTAACAGCGCCCTCACGGGTTATTTTCGTGTTAATTTGTAAACGTTATAACTATGTGCCCGTTTATGTTCATTTTCATGTTTACCCCACTGCTGGTTTATTCTCGACTATGTTAACCAATTATTCATTAATCGTCAATTATCGTTATGTCATTTAGACAGGTTTTTGGCAGTTTACTAATACGAGTATCTTGTCGGACATAGTCGCGTTCTTTACGAGATTTATCTAGTTCGTGATCCAACATGGCGGAAGATGAAGGATTCTACATCGAACTCAGTCCACATCCCACTCGTTTCGAGCCTGTTAGTAAAGCTACCAACGTATTTTTTGATGAAGTAAACAAACAAGTGAGTACCGACGTAGATATGATAGTTGACGAGATATGTGCATGCTAAGAATAGGTACAAAGTAGAATTATAGGTGCCAGTCCATTGCTGTGTGCTCTTCTTCGGGTAGAGCAGTAATGACAGCTCCCTGGGCAGAGGGTCTGCATCCAGGCAAAGACTACAGTCTTTGATCCAGGCCACTGCACGGTACAGTGTGGGTAGTCAGATTACTTACTTGTTTTTGTTCCAACTTAGATACTACTAGTAGTATGTAGTTATTATGCGTTTCAAAAATTATTTACTTCACTGCTGTATGCTAACTGGGTCCTCTGTGTTGAGCTGTTTCATTTTGGTACCCCATGTGAGTTGGCGTATGTTCATTCCAGAAATGTACACATTTAGTACACACGCTCTCACACAGTATACATGTTGGAGAACTTTTTCAACTTCCGGGTGATTAATTTCAGACACTCAGTTGTCATTTTGTCAGTTTACAATTGTCTTTTTTTTTACACATTTCTTTGATATGACTACAAACAATTATACTTTCAAATTGGTTCACTCATTTATGTGTCAATAAAGTAAAATGAATTATGAGAGAAACAGACAGACAGACAGACAGACAGACACTTACTGTTTGTTGACTGTTTCACAATAATAATACATCTTGTTCACACAACAGGTGTTTGCTGTCCGGTCATGTGGTGCTACTGGTGTAGTGGTCAAAGGACCAGATGAAAAATATTGTACTAATTTCAGGTAATGAAAAGAATTGTAATTACCCTGTTCTGATAGAGATAAAGATTTTCCAGTCAGTGTCAGGACAGCCCGGCCCTGGTCGCTTGCAGCCCTGGTATATAATATATAGTGAATAAGATAGTCAAACATTCGTTGAACATTAAATATGAACACATATTGAATATAATTTATACCCAGGCTGGAATGACCAACCTGTTTTGGGGTCGTAACGTCCAAACCAGGACCGTATTGTCTTTTATTTACCAGGGCCGCAAGTGACCAGATCATCTAGAAATCTCCCAGTCTAATTTCCAAGAGGGAATTTATCAATTTTTAATTATGCAATAAAATTTAAAAAAAAAAAAAAACTTTGTCAGTTATGTATAAATAGATGTGGTCTATTATAATAGTTTCTCTGTTGTCATAAATACTAGAGTGGCTATCAGTTTCTTTGAATTGACCAAATTCAGTTTAGATTGTTTTCACTATGGCTATAAATGTCACATCATATGTAATGTATCAGTGGAACATGTCAGGTTCATCACATTTTGAGTTTATCTGTGTCTTGTAGAATGGAAGACAAAGGGGAGGTCATCTCAATCAAGTTTTCATATGACATGAAAGTATTAGCTGTACAAAGGTCACAAAAAACAGTGGAATTTATTAACTTTATTCCTGGACTCGATGTGGTGGAATATTCACAGAGTTGTAAGGTACGTGTTTGACATTTCTGTATTTTTTCTATTATGAACTTGTGTGTGATTCTACTGTGAATTTGCGTATTTGACTTCGGTAAATATTTAGATTTTATTGGACATGCCTATAAAACATGTGCCCTATCCGAGTAGGCATAGTCATATGGCAATGAAAAAGAAACAAAATGGCGGGGGATGTCAAATTTCCAGAGAGGGCATACTTTGCAACACCCTCACTGAACAGGATCTACTGAGGTATAGAGGTGAAACAATGGCTGAATAAACAGACAGTGGTTAGCAAAGAGGGGTTGTCTTTGTAGAATAGTAACTTCTTTAATGTTCATATGGCTGATTACATTTATTCATACACAATGATGAAACAAGACAAATATCAGTACCTGGCATTTCATGAATTACAGCAGGCATGTGCTTAGTACATAGAACTCTGAACTATTTGAGTTAAACATTGCATCATTGTGACAATCATTACTACCTTATTATTATCACCACTGTATGAGTAACAAGCTACTGCTTAAATATTTATTTCTTCCAGGGCAAGACAACCAGGATTATTGGTTTTAATTGGACCAATATAAATGAGATCGTGTTTATAACAGACCATGGCATTGAGTTCTATCAGGTGAGATATATAAATATCCTGCCATGTTTCTTGTACAGTGTAACAACTGTTATCTCCAATGTTTGACCTGTTGAGCTCACATGTATAATCATGTATACATGTATAACCAGGTGGACTTTATGGATAACTTGATATTGTATGTTGATATACACCGTTTTATTTTATATTTGTCAGGTTATCCCTGAGAAGAAAACACTGAAATTATTAAAAAGTTTTAATGTCACAGTGAACTGGTTTGTTTTTCTGGTAAGTGGTGATGTATTATTAGTCTTTCAATTCACAGGGTTTCATGAAGGCATAAATTTGTTTTATGAGTTTTTATAAATATTTATAAAACATCTATTCTAAAAGATTTGGTAATGCCCATTACCCATCAGTCGTTGCAGGGTTTCTTCTATCGTTGACTGATTTCTTGCCATGAACGCAAAAAATAGATTCCATCAGTAATTTTTTCACTGAAATCAATTTAAAAAATAGTACTATTATCATTTAGCACCAAATGTTAAATTGTGAAGGCAAGCCAGTGTCAACTGAAAAGTTAATGGTTAACTAACCACAGTGGAGCTCTATACTCGGTATTCACTCCCTATTAAAGTCTTGTGATTGATCAAGTTGTTTTCAATCATCCTTTGATATTTTTATAAATATGTTATATAAAACAAATTAATGCCTTCATAAAACCTGTTGCATGTCAGAAACTTCAGTTGGGAAATGTGTTGTAAAGCAGTGTTTATGCTTATATTCATGGAAAATAATATTAGTGTTTTTTTTCGTTTGTTTTTTGTTATTTCAGCCTGATAGTTCTTTATTGCTGCTTTCAGCCTCATCACTGGGAAATGTCCTGCATCCATTCTATTTTAAGGTAATTTCCAATATGTGAATCTCTAATTGTGTTTTATCAAAATATTTTAAGTTAAAATGAAAAATTTAGAGGGTAAAAATGGGGAAAAACATATATTATGCGACTTTGCATTTTTTATTTATTATTGGTAGAAAGTAGAAAAGATTTGATTTGCATACGGATTGCAGCTATTTCAAAAATCAACACCAATCCTCAGTCAATAGATTCATGGTCATCTTTTCTTGGCTGGAAATTCAGATAAACCACCTCAGAATATGCAAGTGGCAAATTCTTAGTAAAATGTACATTTGTATGTGTTCATGTGAATACATATCACAAACTAACGATGAAGCTGTAGATTATTTACCTGTTGCTTTAGCTGATAGATTTTTTCTGTATCTACTGTGTTGTATTCCAGGGTGGCACTGTATTGAAGCTTCCTAAATTTGAAGTTGATTTACCAGTAATTCCTAAACCACCTAAGCTGTCTTTGTTGGAGAGAGATGTCACTATGTCCAATATGTAAGTATCTGTAGTCTTTTCTACTGAACGTAACAACTAACACTTTTTCCCTTTTCACCACCAGTTCCCTCTTTTCATTACAAATTCACAAAGCAGTCACATTTATAGTCTGCACTTTTCTTCAGAAGATTAAGACAAAAATAGCCAAATTTTTTGAGTAAAAACTAAAAAATTGACTCAAATTATTCTGTTGGCTAGGGTTTATTTCCAGAAACATTGAAGAATATAAAAAAAAAAGGTACAAAATAATTTGGGCAAGAATGTCTGGAGGTGAAAAGGATAAATCAAACCGTTTTCCAGTTGTTTGGTTCTGACAGTGTTCACTGTACTTCTATCCATGTGTTGTGTTGTATTTTCCTCAACATTTTATTTGAACCCTTTGACATGTCATGCAATATGTTTTGTTAATAAATGCAACAGGTATTACATTATTTATATTTGCGAGATATTTGCATCAGAAGCTTTTTGGTCAATAGGCGAACATCTGCCAGCGTGTCAAGTCAACGATTCACACACAGGATTCTCTGTCTGTCTGATGATTGGAGATGGACTGTAACACAAAATCAATATTTGTTGTGAAACATTTTTCATTAAGATTAATCTGAGATGCACACCACACCTTAAGCTGTTTACTGTAACACCATTGGATCTCCTATTTGCATTTTTATATATTATTATTATTTAGAGGACTTATCATGCGCATATTCTTCTAAAATGTGCTCTATGCGCATTACATAACGTAAAATTCTATCAATAAAAATCACAAGGAAAAACAAATTAAAACTAATAAAATTGACTACAGTGATATGTTTTTAGTGCCCTCTTTACAACGCATCATGCCTATTGTGGGACTTATAGCGACATACACAATGCATGTAAAAGGCATTGTTTGTTTACATGAAATTCAAACACGTGACCTCTTTAACTCAGCAAACTTTGATTGAGCAAACATACTTCCTGGATTTGTTGTGTTTATCACACCTGAAGCAGAATTCAACCAGCAATGCATGATGGGATATATTGTAGTGAAGACAATTAATAACCTATTTGATAAATCACATAATATACATTGGCTTCCAATCAGTATAACTCGCAATTGCAGTAACTTTCAGATTTGAGTTTTTACCAAGTACAAAATTGAAATTTTGGCAACAACTATAACGCAGTGACAGCCACACTGATGTTTTTACAACATACGTCAATGGATATCATGTTATATGGAGACACAATCTGATGTCACTCCATGTGTTCATATTTTAAGTGCTGCACATGATTTGTTTTCTGCCAGACGATTGGTTCATTTCTGTCATGTGATCTGTAAATCTAGTCAGCTTGAACATTAATGAATTAAATACTTAATTAATTTAACTGTTTTTGTACAGATATGGTCAGGTGTATATTATTGTGCTGAGACATCAACAAAGAGGCCCTGGTAACTTGGGTGCTGAAGTTGTTCTCTACCAATTACAAAAGTAAGTACCTACATTAATGATGTTATCAAACTGGTAAATTTCATCCAAACTCAAAAGGTATTTTATGTAGAATCATACACACACCCACCAACCCCTCGTGCATGAAAGTGGGATATTTTATCAACTACCAAATTAAAAGTTGAAGTTTGTCACCTAGAAAAAATAATGTTTAATAATATTTTTTTGCTTTTTGGCAAACTTTGATACCGTAATTTGAGAACACCCCCTAAGAATTCGCTGGTATTGCTACCGGTAGTTCAGCTAAATTTGTGACTTAATTAAGCTGCCTTATAGTTTAATTTGCTGCATTTCTCATCTTACTTTTTTTTTAATTTACAAATCTACAGAGAATCTCCTGCCAAGAAGACTGACGTACTAAGGCTGAATATGAGTGGACGTTTTGCTTTAAATGTCGTTGTGAGTACACTGCTTTCATTTTGACCAATATCACACATCAGGAAAAATCATAAAAATTATGTGAGGTCTTGAAAACGTGAGGTTGGTTATTGAATTAATTTTACTAGATAAAAAAAACAAACATGGAACACAATAGGTTAATTGTTGAACATCAAGAACAATAGTATCCCATGATTCCATGGTCCAATCCTGGGAATTGAGGCGGCCCAGTTTTAAAATGGGAAAGTACATTGTATCTGGTCACTTTAGTATTCACAATGTCAGGGTTTTAAATGATTCCAACATATAAAAAGTTTTTGTCATGAGTAACGTAATATTAAAAAATGGTTGTCCATAGAGATAACCATGTAAATAAATTCAGAAAAATTACCTATATTGTATATATATTTTTTACTGCCAAGAACTGAATTGTCTTTTAATCGACTCTCTTCCCTTTTTCAATGGCTTGGTAGCTGAGTAACTAGGGAAACAGAAACCTGATCTTGTAATATTAAGTTAATAATGTGTATATATAAAAATTAATGAAAAGATATTACATTATTAATCATTTATATTTATATGCAGGATAATCTTATAATTGTACATCACCAGGCTTCTAAGGTAAGTTTGTATAAAAAAGGTAGATCATGTGAATTTATATATTTTAATCTTAATTTTATACACAATTACTTACAATCATTGCTGTTCTTGATGCATACCTATTCCCAACAGCAGTAAATTTCTGCTGAATGGTCTTTAGAAAGAACAAGTGGTAATGCTGAGAAGGTGCACATTTTTTTAGTTGATTTTCTGTCCACTGCGCAGAATTAACTTCTGCTGCAAAAATCCAATAATTTGATTTTATTAATTTTTATTTTGCTATTTTTGGCAAATTTAGTTACCCTTATAATTTTGATAATTCACGATGTCGCTAAGTAAAAATAAAGTAAATTATCATAATGAGATAATTGATACTTTATCTAAATTAGAATTCTTAATTCATACATTGAGTCAAATCTGCTAAAATGGAATGTTGCTTTTAAAATTCAATTATTATGTGACTAGAACAAATGATGTGACTTTTGCCATTATTTTTAGTCATAAGTATCAGGCCATCATCCTCAGAAAGAAGTTTTCAATAACTATGTGTTAAATGATGAGTGGCATATTTCAAAAATGTTGCATGAATTTGTATTACTGTAAAAATGATAAAATTTCATCTACTGTACTCACGAAAAACTGGCCAACTAAATAAATAATTGGGGGAAATTTTGTTTCCAGGCAACAAATGATGCACCATGTATGCAACCTAATGTTTTTGTAATCACTGATTTTTACTTTAAAAATACTACAGCTCGAAATGTCAACATAATTGTGTAATATAAAAACTGTTTTTTTTTTTTCAAAACTACCGTAAAATCTGTATTAGAAGCCGCATCCCTAATAGAATTCGCACCCATTCTTTTTGAATAATTGAGAACCAAAAATTCATCATTTCTCATATGTGTAGATGCTCTAATAGAAGTCGCATCCCCTCTGTTCCATTGTACCATTTTAATAGAAGCCGCGGTTTCTAAAACAGATTTTACAGTAATTATTTAAAAATATGTTGACTTGTTCCTGTTTGTCAAATGACTAAATAAGTTAGTTAATGACAACATAAAATATTATTGTACAAGACAAAGTGGTTGTTTTGTGTAATTCTTATGATTTTGCTTTCTTTTTTCTAGACGACAATGATGTTTGATATCAAATTAGGCGGTGACTTTGATGGTTACATCAACTCACATTACCCAGTTCTTTCACCCTTACCAATTAAGCCATTTAAACTTAAAGTCACTGGTATAACATCGATGTCACAACCTGGTCCTGAAATCACGCATATAACCTGTGAACTCTGTATCCTTGTGTTTATCACATATTTACACTTTGTTATGAGTAGAGTTTCAGCTTTTCTCAATTGAAATTCTTGTGTGGAAAATACAGTTTATATTTCATTTAATATGGATGGCCAGCTTCAATTAGTCAACTTCGTAATATGAAAAGCACCATCTGTGACCATATACCATTTTACATACTTCTCTGGATCACAGTGTTTTTGTAGATGTAGTTTATCTGGGGTTGATACCTTAATTATCAAATCACAATAATTCAAGCCAATGAATTTACTTAGGCACAAACTATGCCGGACACAAGATCTTGTCAGCACCAATCAGAATGCAGAAGCTGTTGACATATTATCTGACAATATGCTAAACCATTCCCCCACTATTTACTGATCATTTGAAAAAGAGAAAACAAAAAACTTTGCTTGAGAAAAATTGTTGAATCTGCAAGTAGCAAAGGAAGCAGGATCCAACTTTAACTATTAAACTAAATGTCAATATGGAAGTAATTTGGTTATTGGTGAACTCAAAACAAAGCCACGTTTGACTCCCATGAAGTCTATCAGTACCAGCAAAACAACTTTTTTTTACTCCCTGCATTGTAAACTATTGTAATTAGATTTTAACTTGAGTGTCTTGATTAGTTAAATTAATCCTTGATTGACAAAGTTGCTATGGTTACTAAAATCAATATTCATTCACAAATTCTATAAAAGAACAACGTGGACATGATGTATAAACTACAGCACCTATTGCTGATCATGTCAAGCTAGAAAATTCTTAGTAGAGAAAACTGTAAACTTGCAGTGCAATACAGATTTACATTCACTGTTATTTAGGGATGATTTTAATGGAAATCTAAATATTTTGGAACTTTCCCTAAGCAAAGCATATCTTTTAGATTTCTTAACAAATTGTGCTTTAGATTCCCCTAACTGGATTGTATTTCAACCTAACATAATAATTGATGCTAAGCTAGGGTGTCTATGGCATGTGATGTTGAAACTGGAGCCATTGGTGACTATGATACCTGACAAGGTAAGTCAACATTTCGTCAGATGAAAAATTTGTTAGTCCGAAAACAGGGACTTGTGTTTTGACCTCTGTGTGTCTGTGCGTGTGTGCGTGCGTGCGTGCGTCCGGACCTGTATCTAAGAAATACCTGGACCAATCACAATCAAACTTCATAAATACATCATACATGATATTATTCATATGCTCATCAATTTGTTTCTTGATCTGATTCAAGATGGCCAAAATCAAGCATTTCTCGGCTGTTTACAGATGGATTTTGTTCAAACTTGATATATACATTAGACATTATAGGACCTTGATGCACATCATTTTGTTTCACAATCTGATTTAAGATAGCCGAATAGTGGCCATTTTTGTGCTAAAAAATCCTAAAAATCAAGCATTTCTCGGCTGTTTACAGATGGATTTTGTTCAAACTTGGTATATACATTAGGCATTATGGGACCTTGATGCAAATAATTTTGTTTTTCAGATAAGATTAAAAATGGCCGACTGGCGGCTATTATGTTTTAATGAATGTGGTTCCTCGTGCCATATCTCTGACTTGCTTTCACTGATTATGTTCAAATTTTAAATATTCATTATACATCATGTCATAGACAGATATATTAGATGACGATCCTATTCAAAATGGCCAAATGGAGGCCATTTTTGTGCTAAAAAATCATCAAATATCAAGCATTTATAGATGGATTTCATTCAAACTTGGTACATATATTAGACATTACAGGTTTCTGATGCACATCATTTATTTTTCAGATCGGATTCAAAATGGCTGTCTGGCGGCCATTTTGTTTTAATGAATGGGCTTCTGGATTCATATCTCTGACTTGTTTTGACTGATTATATTCAAATTTTAAATATTCATTACCGTATACATCATGTCATAGATAAACAGATATATTGGTTTGACGTTCCTATTCAAAATGGCCGAATGGTGGTCATTTTTGTGGTAAAAGATCATCAAATATCAAGCATTTCTGGCATTTATAGATGGATTTCGTTCAAACTTGGTACATGCATTAGACATTACAAGTTCCTGATGCACATCATTTTATTTTTCAGATTGGATTCAAAATGGTTGATTGGTGGCCATTTTGCTTTAATGATTGGGCTTCTAGAGCCATACCTCTTGAATGCTTTGACTGATTATATTCAAATTTTATATATTTGTTATATATCATGTTATATGTATACATGTATTCAAAATGGCTGATTTTGAATGCTGTTCCAGAGCAATATCTCTCAATATGGACAAGTACTTTTTTGACGATCAGATACAAATGTCAATCATTTTAATGTTGAAAAAATCATATTCCTGACATGGTTATTTTCCAGCTATATTACTATAAACAAAACTATATATCTTAAATTTGATAACTAACATTGACTGTGCCATGCATGGCTTGTTGATCTTGTTTTGAATGTTTTTGATGTAGAAACTTATTATGATTTTCTTCTCTCAAAGACCACAATGTTAGTAAGACAACGATGACTCCCCATCCTTAGTAAGACAAAGAGCACCTGGTGACCTCATGACCTCATGAGTGGTATAGTTGTATCATGTGACTACTTGTGACAATACAGCCTTAGTTCAAAACTCTCATTTTATAGAAATAATTCAGAGATATTTAATGTCCTTGCACCTGATTATTGTGAACAAATTATAATCTGCAAAGAAATCAACAGTTGTAACTTTAGTGGGCAGCTTGCTTTGACTCGCAATCCCATCGATTGCACCAGTGAGTTATGGAAAATATAATTTTGAATGGCCTGTCCATCATTTACTATCTATAGAAGTATTACTGGATGTTTATATCATGGATTCTCATCAACTTTTAGATGAGAATTATGCTCGACTCGCGTCCAACTAGTAAAATAACATCATAATTCTACAAATATTCATAATTGTATGTAAAAATACAGTATTCCAATACATTCTGATTATCGAAAGAGTGAGTACATTGTATGTGTTGCCATGGAGTTAATTTGCATACTGAATCTGGCCGCCATCTTTTCTTTTATATGCCTAGAACTGCAGTTTCACTCACAGTTCATCGCAATCAATTCATCTGCTGTATTTTACAATTCTGAGTTTAACTTTTTATCACTACTCTGTTCTAGGGTCGTCTAATGGACTTTCTACTTTTGAGAACCGAGTGTAAAATGGTGATACTATCTGTCTGTAAACAAGCGTTAGTGCCAGGTCACCAGTGTAATCTGCCAACTATATCTCGCATATTTGACAAACTCAACCAGGGCTATAGGAATTATCTTGAACAGGAACAACAAGGCACCCAGGTGAGTCTTGTAATTATGTCTGTAATGATAATGTTGTCATCAGCTTGTTGTTGTTGTAGTTATCATGTTGCTTTGTACAGTATATGTACAGAAATACCAAAGTTAAAACACTCTTGAAAGTGATATCAGAAAGTTACGCAAGTTTCTCACTGCTTCACTATGTTATACCTCTTTTGTGCAGGGTGTTGAAATGGGAATGGTGAAGTCTAATAGAAAGCGAAGTCAAGCAGTGGTGGACCAATCTGATATGTACACACATGTCTTCTCAGTGTTTGTAGATAACAGGGTGAGTATAGACAACTAATCAGAGGAAAACATAATAAACCAATTATGCATGCAGAACCAATTACAGGGTGATTAGTCTTAAACATGCTGAAATAAAATTGATCATGTTTAGAAATATTTGAAAATTGACAGTGTTTTTGACAGTGTTTTTAATCTATCGAAATTTGCATATAGTCTAAAAAATGCGTCCATGTATTAAACAAGCACATACATATACTCAATTTTAAATTAAAAACTATGATTTAATAGATCCTAAATGTACATCAACCTCTTCTAGCATTTGTATCCTCCCAACTCCTTGTATATCCTACTTGAATTGATTGTACATTGTGTTATTTACCTCAATATAAGTCTCTGTTGTTGTGTTACAGGACGTAAAGCATAAATTTATTGTAGCTGTACTGATGGAGTACATCAGATCTTTAAATCAATTCCAAATACCTGTACAGGTTAGTGTATTTACAATTATAGATATATACATGTACATTGTAAATCCTAAGATAGAATATCCTGTGAAATGTGGCTTAATTCTGAGATTGGTACCATGTAGTGTAATGGTTGTCACCATGTTGCAATCCTACTTAGAGTATAACACCAAAACAGGGTCGACAAGATATGCCATAGACAATTTAGAGGTCAGGTTTACTGGCTGAGATTCATTCTATAATAAATGTGACTTGGGGGGGGGGGGGGGTTAAGGTACACAGGTACTTGTGTTCGATTGGATCTAGTTGAAGGTGGATTACTGTAGAATACTTTATTTTCACTTGGAATTTTTTTTCGCTATTTTCGCTGAAGGGATGATTCTGTGAAAATAAAACCCACCGAATATACATTTATTTTCTATATTTTACATTATTTCATCAAAAATCAGTGAAAATAAATTCCAAGCCAAGCAAAACGCCCAAAAAACCTTTTCAGCGAAAATTAATTCCAGCGAAAATAAAGTATTCCACAGTATATTACAGGCGTCAAGTCAAGGACAGTTAACAACGCTGTGCTGTTTGATATCACACTGCATTTCATTTGAGTGTTCTAGTTAACTATGTTTCGTGAATGTCATTTTGACACTTAAAAAAAGAAAGTGACATTTTCTGTACTAATTCATGTTTACAGTTGAACATTTCTAAACTTTTATTGTGGTCTTGGGACTATCTGGTGAAATATTTTATAGTAATAATGTTCAAATATTGTAGGATATGCTCTTCAGGGCCGGGTTGAGATTGCTTCAGTTTACCATATTAAGACTCATGAACAGCATTGAATTCTAATGTGTTTCACAACAGTAATTCAGAATTAGGGCAAATTCTCAAATATTTCCACAGTTCATGAATATTCATGCAATTAAATGTTTCATGTAATATTCTCATGATCCTAAATAATGATGTATAAATGATGTAATAAAGTTCAACTTTATGCCTTGCAAAAAAAATATGTTTAAATTTTTTTTTCCAAAATTTGGGCTGTGAGGCGATTTCCGTTTTTCTGCTAATGTTATTTGAGGCAGCTCAAATTTTACTGGTTTTACCAATTCATCAACAGAGGGCGCTGTGTAGTGATGAAACAGGCAAAATAAAACCTTAGGTTTAGGCCCTAAAGGCAGAATGACAAGCCAAATAGCCATATACCATATTTGTGATCGCTGCATATCTGGTTATAGTAGTGTTATTATAGTTTTGTTTTTAAATTATGGCCAAATGCTCAAAAACTTGATAATAAAACCTTTGGTACTGGTTATAATGCTGCCAACTTCCTGTCACTTGTAACACATGCAAGGTTTCTATAGTTTACCTATGTTTTCTTTATTGCAGCATTATCTATATGAGCTGGTCATTAATACTCTGGTACAGAATAACTGCTTTTATCAACTGCATCAATTTCTACAGTATCACGTACTGAGTGATTCAAAACCGCTAGCGTGCTTGATGTTGTCGTTAGAAAGTGTTTATCCACCAGCACATCAGTTAGCCCTAGATATGCTCAAGGTAAGTTTGTCATGACGACCGTAATCACAACAAAGTGTACTACAATATGGTCCTAGAATTAATGCAACTTTGATTTCATGGATACTGTAAAAATCCTAATTGAGGCAGCGGCTTCAATTTAAATTAATTTTTTAATGGGTGACTTCAGATGCGTGAAGTCTTGGAGCGGCTTTAAGGCATTAATTTTGGTAACAGTGGGAAAATTTTTTCAGAAAACGAAGGCCTGAAAGGATAATGATATGCTAATGAGATGCACGACATATGCTGAAATATGTGGTGGCCCTAAAAAGGGCTGTTTGGTTTGTGTGGAACACGCATATGTGAACGTTTGGGGTGTGGCTTATATTGCATGGTTTCCCTGGGATCAAAACTTGTAAATTTTAACAAGAAACAATGTCTCAAGTTAGAGGTGCAGCTTATATTTGAGCTGTGGCGTCAATTATGATTATACGGTACTACATGTAGTTGAAAAGTGGGGTCATTTTTAGTTGTGTTTCTAAGACCACCAGCTATGCATAGTCTTACATTGTTACAAAAGCCATGTTTATTATAAAGCCATGTTATCACAACAGATCATTACAGGCAATTATTATACTGTGCATTCGTGATTATGGAAATGACGCATTCTCATAAGTAGGTACCCTGTGCACTTGGGCTATCCAATGATAACTGGGCAGTGATTTAGGTCAATGCACAAATAGATGAACCAAATAATGTGTGAACAATATCCAATGTTTCCCTACATGTGTGCAGATTGAACAAATAAATCATAATTATTTCACATTTAATATTTACATATTTATTTTATCTGGAAAATTGCCTATACGAAAAATGTAAGCATGTTTTAGCATGTTGGTCACGCATGAGCATTTGGTATTTTTTTTATTCTAAATTTCTGTCAAAATGCTGATTATTCAAGTTATGTGTTCAACATGAATATTTTTTTTTTTTTGCTGGGCTTTACATGAAATGAAAAAGCACAAATTACCCACAACGAAAAAGACAAGGCTTTTAAAAACATGCTTTGATATATCTCTCTTTTTTTCTGTTTACTTTGTCTTAGAGGTTATCCACAGCCAATGAGGAGATAGTTGAAGTTCTTCTCTCAAAACATCAAATTTTAACTGCACTGAGGTTTATACGTAGTGTTGGTCAAGTAGATACCGTGTCAGCCAGGAAGTTTCTAGAAGCTGCTCTGAATACGGAAGATAAAATGCTCTTCTACACTGTTTTCAAGTTCTTTGAAGAACGAAATGCTAGACTCCGGGGACATGCAAGATTTGTGCCAGGTAAACTAAAAAATTATGACTGTCACATGATTGTCATGTGACTGCCACATGACTGTCACATGATAATGCACAACTGTCTGCAAGGTTATGTTGCACAGAAGCGAATAGACTTGCTTGCAGTCTGTTGCGATTCCCATGAAAAATTTGTAAAAACATAAAATTTGCGTAAAAGACGAGTGAACACGAAAGTCCTGTAATGCGCTATGTTTACCCTATTGTTGATGCCAACAAAATTGAGTAAAACAACCATCGTTTCTCTGAGAACATCAACAACATGGTAACATAGTGCGAGACAAGTAAACACAAGCTTGTGCAATGTCCACTTTATTGTTATGGTCCGTGGCGAGGCTGCTCCACCCACCGAATGACGTATATGCAAATATACAAGCCAAGTACTATGAGGGCGCTTACGCTGACAGCAAATCTGTTGGGAGTTCGTGGTCACAGGACATTCGCGTTCACCCCTCGTTTGTGCAATTTATATTTATTTTTCAAGAATTTTTCATCGGAATTGCAACAGACTGCAAGCAAGTCTAAGAAGCGATCTGCCCAGTGTTGGTATTTAAGAAATAGGCCATCAAACTGGTCTGGAATAGCATAGAAACATGCTCAAAGGGATTTGGACTATTTGTATCCAATATTTACTACCACAGGCCAACAAAAGTTTTTATTTAATACTAGTATTTATGACATTTTTTGTGACCTTCGCAAAAAAAACAAATTTTTGTATGTCAGTCGTAATTGTGAAATTTAGTAGCAGTGATTATTTCACTTGGACCCCACAGACACAAGTGTGACAAAAACTCCGCTAAATCACAAATATTTCTATCAGTGAAAATTGAATGGTTTACTGCTTATCTCGAGTATACATGCATTCAATGTATAGCTCATAAGTTACTGTTGAATTCTGGGAATTTATGTTTTCTCTATTGTCACTGAGGTTTAGAAATAGAAAACAAAATTCTGAAAATCCCCTCCATGGTTAGTACTGTAATAGCATTTTTTTTCACTGGCATTCAATTTCTCTATTTTGATGTTTTAGCAATTTCACTGGGTTTTAAGTTCATGAACTTGGCAGTTAAACAATGAGTTCACATGAATTTAAATTAGCAAATTTGGCTAATCTGCGACAATTGCGTGATTTAAAACTAGTTAATAATTAATGTGTTTACAGTATGTAATTTATGACAAATCTGAAAATAAATTACGTCAAATCAATTCCAGCTAAAATAATGTAATTATTTATTTTTTTCCAGGCGAGCACTGTGAGGAATATGTGAAGCAGTTCGAAGACATCTTTGGTTCGGAAAGTTTCATGATCGTCACAGCAGCATCCTGAAAATTAGCCGGCTGGGAGGAATTTATACACATGTAGTCTGTAGAAATCTCATCATTTCAAATTACCATTTTTTACATTGTATCAATACACAGCAGTTTAATGGTTGTTTCTTTGTTGCATTGTACACGGTTTCATTGAAGCCAACTTAAATACAAATACCATATTTGCTTAAATAGTAGCGCATTCACTTATGTATTGAATTACAGAGATGTGTCAAGGTACAAAGTAAGTAATATTTTATTATAACAAATGTAATTTTGAAATTCGAGATGCGCTTCCAATGAAGCCAATACGGTATTCCGAAAATAATATTCAATTCAATTATATGGTACTTTTGCACCACCAATTATACTGTATATGCTCTATTTGTAGTACAAGCGATTTATGCTGAGAAGTACGCCAATGTATTAAAGCGGGGGAGTCGTCACCCACGCATGCGCCAGATGGCCATAGCGTGTCATTGTTTACAAACAAGCGTCTACCCATGAGCCTTTGCATTTTAGCGTGTGTTATCGTCGCTTGGGACTCAATTCCCATGCGTGTGCAGGTGACAACCCTCTCGCTTTAAGTAATAATCTAATATTACAATTTTTGGTTTATGTGTTCTTCCTCCAGAGTTGCATTTCTACTAGAGCAAATATGGTATACTGTAGAATACTTAATTTTCACTTGGAATTAATTTTCGTTATTTTCGCTGAAGGAATGATTCAGTTTAAATAAAATCTAGCGAACATAACATTTTTTCCTATATTTTACATTAAATTTGTCAAAAATCTGAGAAAATAAATTCCATACAAAATACCCAGAAGTCTTTTCAGCGAAAATTAATTCCAGCTAAAATAAAGTATTTTACAGTACAACATGAATGGTTATATCTTATCAAAAGTGATAATATTTTACTAAATATATCTTTTATTCACACACCTAACCATCATTTTTTTAATCTCTCTGAATGGTAAATTTACAAATAATGCCTAATCTGCCAAGGTATTAGAAATGTTGAATGTCCAAATATTGCTATGTTTACACTCATCGGATTACAGTTAACAATCAAGATAACTGCCTTAACAAAGCTTCTTCAAATTCCTCCTCTGGCCATCCAATTAAATATATGAATATGTAATATATGAATTGGGTTTTGGAGTTCCATGAATGGGAACATAATATAGTGTAAATGAAGTACACTATGCATGTACTAGTATTTTGAGTGATTTCAGATTAGTAATGGTTTGCTGTTATAGGAAGTATGGATTTCTGTTTCAGGTCACACTATGATTTATTGGAGAAATGTCGCTAAATTATTTATTAAGGTTAATTGACCATTTTCCGTTCACTGCGAGAATCGCGCGTTATGCGTGAAATCGAACGTAAAAACAGGACAAACAAAGGTCATAGCGTCGTTCTGTCGTCAAACATCGCGTGGGATTCAACAAACGCGAAAATATTTTGGGGACATTTCCATGCTTAGTAATGTGCTGTACACATTTGATGATAGGCAATTTCGATTAAGTAAGGGTATTCAAAAGCAATATTCCTCTGTCGAAGATCGGCTGGTCGATGTGAGCTACGAAACAAAGAAACTCGAATTTCAAAATCAAATCGTTCGATTTTTGCGGCAGACGTTTGACGCGCGTCTTACATGCATCTCGTGAGATCTCGCAATTGTACGGAAAATCATCTATTATTAAAGCTAATAGTTTGCTATTTGTTTTGTTAAAAGTACATCTCCAATACAAGTGTAGACAGACTTGTGTTAAAGTAGCACTGTAGTCACAACTGCACTTTAATTGATAGGTCTCCCACAGCATGATTGTTTGCGTATTGATAGTGGCCAGTTTTCAGATTTGCTTTAAAGGGCGGTGGTCGTCGAGCTGCGCATGTGCGACATTTTGTTGATAAACATTGATTTTCCCACAATTCAATGTGCTCTTCTATTGGAAATCACAAGTATGAAGTTTGACCTGGGCGGGACTATAATAATATAATAATAATGAATTTATTGCATCCTTAGAAATAGTTTCCATTGGTTGACAACAATAACATATTAGTAATAATGTACAATACAGGTGTACATATAAAACTACTTGCACTAATTACCACTGGTGATTCCTTCGATACTTTCCAATAATAAAAAAAAAATACCTAATTATGATAGCTTTGTACCGTTTCAGTTTGTACTTGTTGATCTGCGCAACAGTCAAAGTCGCAATCTTTGTTTACCGGTGTATGAGACCCATATAATCTCGCGCATGCGTGGCACGACGACTACTGCCCCTTAAAGAGAGTTTCATATTTACATGCTAGTTTCAAACAGTTGTCAGAATTATGAATGCAGTATATGTATTAACATATAATATTGTTATGTAAATTAGCTGCAACATAACGCTATGTCCCCAGAAGAACCCATTGTACGATTTGCCTTTTACAGTCCAAAATGTATTGCAAATTTGTTTTCAATTTTTGGTTTTCGATTATTTTGTGATTTCTGAATTGAGTGACTAATATATAATATGAATATCACATAACTGTGCAATATTTGTGTGAATTTATTTATAAATTATTGTTTAATTTTTTTTTTTATTTATATCCTTTTTTGCTTCAACATTCTTCTAATCCTTTGTGATACTTGAAAGTTGTGGCAAGTTGTTCACCAGCTATTTTTGAAAACACTTTAAATCTCTGCACTGAAGTTCAGCAATATTGTAGCTGTCACTGGTATGACTGTCAGGGACCCTACAAAATATTGGTACATGTATCACCAGCCACGGTATGCTGAAATTTACCAATCAATAGATTGCAACTTTTTGATTGCGTAGAACATAAAGGAGTTAATTCAGATAATTCTGAGATAAAAATATGAATCTCAAAATATGGGACTTTTATTTCTGAAATTAGTAAGGCAGTTATGGTGGATTGTCAGATTCAGATTTCATCAACCGATTGTTGACCTCCACTCTGACATTGTAAATACTATAGTGTTCAATTTTGATTATTGAAATGTACATATCACATTGATATTTGTAAATAAAGATTATACTTATTAACTGTCTTTTAGCATTAACTGTCTGATTGTTTTTCAATGAAATTGAATGATTCTTGTTCATGTGACCTTTTTTTGCCTAGGTGAGGACAATCTGCTGTATTGTATGTATGCAAACTCATTTAATTTCATGTGTTTTTATTTAGATTATGACATTTCTCAGTATCATAATTGTCTTATGGAAAACACTGGTCACCTGTATCTTGCATCTTCTATCAAGCAGTGACAGATGCGACAAATTGTGCATAAAAACACCAGTTGTGGAACAATGTTATAATACTTCAATAGTTGTGGGCAGTGTTAACACTGGTGTGCCGAGCACAATTCCCTCTGCCTGGGGTTGTAAATGTTCTACTGATATCATTGGAATCACTTGATGAGAATTTTTGTGAGATTTGGTATGTACATAGGTGGTTGTCGTAATCCACATACCCAATAAGGGTTCGGCTGAAAGTATGTTTTTTTATATACAATCCATTAAAACCAATAGAGGTGCATGTGGCCACAGTTATTAGAAGAAAATGTTTACTGCTAAATGTAAATACAGTGTTATGTTAAACAAAAAACTTTCAACAAATTTATTGAGAACAATTTTGAGAATGTTAATGAAGCAATTAATATTCTAGTCAATACTGCAGACGATAGACAAGTTTCAAGTTGTGGTGCCATCAGTTGGTTTCCATGCAAGAAATGGGGGTTGATTTCTAACTTCTGTAATTGTTTTGTTTCCTAGGTTCCTGGCATTCTGATGAGCTATCAAACATTTATGCTACAAAATCACCCCCTTCCCTACGCAGACGGAAATGATTACGCATATTTCTAAGGACATGGCTGAGCTCACAACTTGTCAATTGTCTGAAAAAAAATTCACAAAAAAAAAATTATAAAAAGGTTCAGATATTATTTTTATACTATCGAAAATATTATAAAATTGCATTCGCAATAAGAAAAGGAATTTTAAGAGTTTGTTGATTAATCGATTGGAGTTGTTTGGCAAGGTACTGGTCATTGCGTAACAAATTACAAGCAAACTATGTTTCTCAGAACACAAACAAGCTCCAGTCGCTGCCAAAGTTCTACTTGGCTGAGCACTTTGAAAATTTTTATAACCATGGCAACATCATTAACAAAAAAATTTAGAAAGAATTTACTAATTCTTTAATGTGAACTGTTTTTAAATCAGACTTAATGCAATTGAAGAAATTATTGATGCTATTAAAAATCTGAAAAACACAAAATCTTCTGGTGATAGAATCACAAATGAAATGATAAAAGTTAGTAATGCCTTTTTAAATTTAAACTTTTGGCTAGTAGTATGTTCTTATCACAATAAAATATTATTTCTACTGCCTTGTATAAATGGAGTGATAAATTGGACTCTAGTGATTATAATTGCAGTTTTTTAATTCCTTATTTTTTAATTATTAACCAGCATTTTAAATAAAATCGTGTATAATACATCAAATTCTAAAAATGATTTAAAAAAAAAATGAATTCCTTTTGTAGTAAATTGTACTCCCATCCTTAATATTGACTTAAAAAAAGTTGGGGGTCACCAGCTTAATTTTTGTGAAAATGGTGGATGTATGCTTTTACCATATGGTTCTATGTCAGAGATAATATGCCATATCTTTAATTGTAGTCTGGTGACATGGGCTGAAAGCATCTCTAGTTAACGGCTGCATGTCATTTTACATAAAAAAGTGATGTTTTACTTTTATTTTTTTTTTGTAATACACCTACACTGTAAAATGAAGTACAAATAGGCTTTTTTTTAGGTCTGTTTCATGAAAATTGTAAAAAATCTAAAAAAACAAAAAAATTTTTATTTTGGGTTTCAACCCTGAACCCCCTTCCATTGTGTTGTGGGTATAACAGCACATCACATCTTCAGGGCAATGTAACTTGAAGAGAATGTCACCATGTTTCAAAGAGTTTCATTTGCTTGATGAGCCATCATTGTCTTGTTCTTTGCAGACATCATCCCTTGTTGTCAATATGTGTATGTAAAATTAACTTAAACTTGTCAATAAAACATATTAATTCTGTAATAAAAAAAATATTGGACAGATTTTAGAGAAAACAAAAAAGTCACAATATTGAAAACAAATTTAGTTAATTAGTTTGTTAAGTGATTACTTCACTGGGATGGAGCAACTTGAAAGAGTAATGGTAAAAATGGTGAAGGAAATTTACTTTGGACTTATGTATTTTTCAAAAGTGTAATAAAGATATTATTAATTTACACTGGTACACGAGTTTTATCTAGTACTTTGGAGGGAAAACAACTCTTTAACTCAATACTGAGGATGCATGTTTTGTCCATTTTTGGTGTTCCACAAAATTGTCATCAAATTATATTATAGTTTGTCAGTTTTCTTTTTTTGCTTAGCTTCCGTGTGTACCAATGAGTCAAGAACTAAACTATAGTTTTTCTTAAGTCAACGGATTTTCTGGAATTATTTCGGCCACTTTAAATCAAAATACAAACACTTGACGTTTTTTCCCAATGGTAAAACTAATCTCTCGACAAAGCGCCACCCGAAGGTAAAAATGGGAAAACCCCCCTCTTCCACATCACGACGGGTCACGTGATGAATCCAAAATGGCGGATGCCAGGTTGGTTTGATGACACGGATACCTTTCGTTTGATTCTGTGATTTTCCCTGGCTTGTGACTTCGTTTTGGGAGTTCCCGCACCCAGGGCTCCAGTAATGTGTTGAAGACATTATGCGCAATACACATACAACAAGCGACATGTTTTTGAGACGGGCGCTGGAGAAAATTCTCGCCGACAAGGAAACTAAGAAATCGTACAACTCACAGCTGAGAAAGGCTTGTGAAAATGCACTGGGTTAGTATTTTTTAATACAATTATAACAATTTAATACATGTATGTCCTGTTGGTGGTGGGTCTATCATGTAAATGTAATCGGTAGTGTCACTTCAAGTCATTGCCGTGAAGTAGGTGTTACTATTACTACCGCGTACTCTTTACGATCGCTCCAGATTACAGACAAGCGCGGCATACGTAAGGTAAATAGTGCGATCGTTCCATTCATTTCGTATGTATACCGGGTCATCAACTCGAAGACATCGTTGTACGTATTGTTCATTTCAATGGGAAGGCGTAACTCGCAATTATAAATCGCGAGTCACAGATGTCAACGTAGGTGTACTGTTAAATACATAATACATTGACCAAATTATTACATTTACAATCCCGTGTAAATGAAAGAGGACACACCCGGTATGTGGCATTTTGTAATTCGAAATTTACCAACAATAAATTGAATAATATTTTGCTATCGATTATTAAAATATATTGTCTCAATATTTACTTGATGCGACAACTTAACATTTACTTTTAATACTGTATTTTGAATTTGACCTCTGCGCACAGTATAGTCCCATTTTGTTCGTGAATCATACTACACACCCGATACCGGTGACACGTGTAAATACTGCCAGTGAGTTGAGATGCAATCTATGAACTTCAGTCGACTTTGTATATCAAAATAACTTGTTACTAAATGCCTGTTATTCATATCCATCTATAGATAGTTGTCAACATTTGAATTCTCGATCATAACATTTCCATTAAACTACTTTTAAAATTTATTTCAATGAATTAAATTAAGTGGCTAATTTTATTTATATGACGCAGACAAGTAGTAATAAATAAGTTGAAGGGATTTATGTACATGTATTCATAAAAAAATAATAGTGAATAGGACAGTAGAACACAATGAATACAGTTGACTTTGTTGTTTCCAGTTGACATGTCCATATGTCTATTGACCTTTTGACCTGCATTCACCTGTTAACAAATTTGTTCAGGATTCAAACAGATAATTAAAAAAAAAGCTATGAATTATCAGACAGTATCTACAGTACATGTATCTTAATTATTGATTAACAAATTGATTTGTCATTGTATTCTTGTATTTTTAGTCATTATCTCTGTGATCTAGACTGTGTTACCCCATTTTCAAATATTAGTATTTTTCTGAGAGGTGATATTGATTGTCCCTGTTGTGTCTCCTGACGTTTTTTTGTGTGTCAAAATTGCAAAATTTGGGCTTGTGTTGACTGGAGATTACAGATACCATGCATTTTTGCCACAGAAACCATATTCCTCATCGAATCTGTGACACACCCACCCAAGATAGGAGCTGGCTCCTTTTTGTTGTTCACTCTAAAGTAGTGTATAAAATCATGATAATGATTACCTGCACAACAACCATTACGGTCTTTATTTGCTATAGTTTTCACTTACCTCAAAGCCCTTGAATCTCAGAGACAAGATTTAATTTTACGTAATTTGACTGATTTACTCAAAATATGGTTAATTAATATTGCATAGTGCATTTCTAAGTATATGTACTGCATTCATGTACTGGTTCACTTAATGCATCACCACCAGAGATGCGCCTTATTCTTCATGGCACATGTAACAACACAGTTCATCTAAGGGTCAATGTACACTCCATTCGCTAGTACTGTATTTGCTCTATTTTAGCCAGTGCGGAAATAAACTGATTATGAAAACCATCAGTACAATTGTATTTAACCTAATCTCTCTACCCTCTAAAAATGTTTTTTGGAATCATAAAATTACAAGCTAACACTTCACTCAATAAATTTTTGTTCTTCTCTTTGTTAATTTACGACCAACGAAACATATTTTCCAATTAGCTTGACCAAATTTAAAAAAAAAGTAAGGAAAAAATTGTTTATTTTGTGAGACAAAAAGATATTAGTATGTGGTTGAAAGTTTTGGGGCCCAAATTTGCTTTTAAAATTGTTGAGCCTTGATTCTTCAAAGTAGCTACAACAATGAGATATTAGTTTGGTTTCTAATCTCTTCATTTGTAAAGTTAACTCAGGATAAATATAACAAATTTGTAGATGATAATGAAATCAAGTTATAAATTTTGAATTATTTACAGATTTAGAATTATGTAACTAAAAGTAATGCAACAATCTTGAGTAACAATGGTTTTTTTTTTTTTTTTTGGTTTCTGTTGAAGGTCATTTAAACACAAGTTTGTATTTGAACATGCAGCCATGTTGTCTTAGTATTGTTTCATTTGGATTTGTAGTATAACATGTCGGTGGAGATCATTGGGGTAGAACAAAGTACATTCTAACCAATATATACAAATCTCTTGATTTCATAACTCATAGTCATTGAAATAGCACCAGTATTCCCAGGGGGTGTTTTTCATTTATGGGGTATGTTTTATGACAACAAATAGCTTGACACTCGAGATTTAATGCCCTCCATGTAGTACTACCAATCTTGAATAACTTTAGCAAAATGTTCCAAATAAGTAAACAAAATGTATTATCCAGGCGAGTCAGTTACGAGAGTGAGCCACATGCTTCTGTATTTTTGAAGTTAGAAATAAACTACTGGTAAGTAGCCAGGAAGTAGTTGAACAATACCAACATTTTAGTTAAAAGTTGTAGTTTAATAAAAACTTCATTTTCTAGGGTGCATGGGGCACCCTAGCCCACCTGTCATTGTTGAAGTGAGTTAACCTCCCTCCCCTTCCTCTAGGTTGGTATATTTCTACTGTTGATTTTAGTACAGTGTTCACACGAGGAATTAAATGTGGAACTATAGAGACTCTAATAATATTTTATTCCCCTTATAGTCAAGACTCAAATGTTTATTATTGTTTTTCTTGTATTTTTGTGAGACAATTTCGTCTCATGAGAGTCAAAAAACCTGGAACAAAAATAAATCATTTGGCAAGTGTTTCATGTCTCATGTCTAGTGAGAACACTGGATTTAATTTGATACTGACCACTAAGACTTTTTTATCTGGTATTTTATCAACTGCCGTGTTTTTATCAGGAAATAATGAAAAAAATAATGGCAGTGCGAGTCAGAATTGTTCCTCACTTTAAAAAAAAAAATATGAGAAAATTTCCCATCAATATTGGATTTGAGGCAGAGACATGGGACTGAAAACAAATCCCATTGGTCTGAACTGTGACCCTAAACCAAATGTCTGCTGGATATAATCTCTGAGAAATTCTCAGAATTGATATTTCCTTGAACACAAGGAAGGAAATAATACCCAACATGTGCATGCACACTATACCTATTACTCAGAAATAAAAAATACCCAGAAATAATCCAAATATTTAAATATTTTGCTGGTTCACTTCTCACATTTTAGAAATGTTGACATACTATGTTATATTTCAATGAATTTATCCCAAATACCTTCAAAACGAAACCTTAGTGATATAATGATGGAGCAAGAATAACATTTTTATTTCAAATAATATGATTTTATTTATCTTGCTAGGGACAGGTTCATCATCAATTACAACTTGGAATTTTATTCTCTAACCAGTCCGATAACCAGGCAACTTTAATTTTTATTTGCAACCTCCATACATCATAGTTATTGTTAGTTTCTATGGTAACGATATTCCTATTACATGTATGTTTCCAAATAATGAATTATTTATTTTGAAAAACATGTTTTTTCATGCTGTCAGTATTCATTTTTGAAATCTGGGGTTTTGAAAATGTGCCTGGAAAATAAAATAATGAATGTTTTATATTGCTTTCCCAATGTCGTTTTGGGGAGTGGGAAGGTGTTTATTAAGTCAGCTTCCAATATAATAAGAAGTCGACTTTAGTCATTTTTGGTGTCTTTCTTGTAGTATGTCTTGATGTGGAAGATAAGTTCTAATTAGTATTCTGTGTACCATATTTAGTAGTACATGCACTTTTGTGGATGTTAGAGATATGTCTCTGGTCAAATCTTATCCAGTATAGAAATAAATGTTATTTTTGATTTGAGCTGCACTTTCAAAAATGTTTGCACTATTTTTTCCTTCAAAAGTTTCACCTAATTTTTCAGATTTTTTTTCCTAAGTCCTGAAAATTTGAGGTACATGATGAGAAATTTGTTACAATGGTAAATGACTTAAAATTACAATTTTCATGGAATTTTGATCTGTGTTTTGTCATTTTGTATGAAAAGTAGTTTTGTGACCAATATATTTTGACTTGCACAACAGAATATAATAAACACCATAGTGTAAACTTCAAGAAAATCTGATTATCTTTTAATGGGAGCAAGCTACCTTAATAATCTATCGTTATCACAAATAGGACGCCTGTTTGTCCCCCAAATAGATATATCAGAATATTCGGTTAATGCAGTCTCTGGCCGCATGATGATTTATTTGCACAGTGATATAGACAGTGTGGTTTTATAGCTATACATATGTATGTGAAGTCAGATGAGTTATATCTGATTACTGTAGAATACTTTATTTTTGCTTTGAATTAATTTTCGATATTTTCGCTTCTCAGGAATAAAATCCAGTCAATATACCTTTTTTCCGATAGTTTAAATTTAACTTGTCAAAAATCAGTGAAAATAAATTCCATACAAAACACCCAAAAAGTCTTTCCAGTGAAAATTAATTCTAGCTAAAATAAATTATTCTACAGTACTTTGGCTTCTGTACATACATGTATACCGCTGCTTTGCTTACATATAAATACACATATTGTGCTATTAGTATTACACTGACTGTGTACATATATGTTCATGTATTATGGTGTAATGCAGCCCTGCAGTTCAGGACTACATGTATGTTTGCAGGGAACATGATATCTCCCCCATGCAGGTCGATACGTACTTATAATGTATTCCAGCTTAGGGGGTCCATACTAACCTGCCAACTGTAACACTTTATTCATTAGATTAAATTGTGTCTGAGAATCTAACTATACACATATAGTATGTGCACTGCTGTGTATAATATTGTAAGTGGTAGTCACACCTGTTGCTGTGTTAGTCGGTACTGTCACAT